ATATTTGTGTCAGTTGTAAAGAAATAAAAACCTTCTATTTCCAAGTAGATAGTGAAGCTGATTGATTCTGTAAAACAGGTTATTTGATCCTTTATCAATGTAGTCTTTTACAAATATTGTTGTATTTCAACATTCTTAATTTCGGGGCTAGAGAGATAGCTTAGTGGTTAAGAGAACTGGCTGCTCTTGCAGAAGACTGGGGTTTGAATCCCAGCACCCAAATGGCAGTTGACAACTGTTTTTATCTCCAGTTTCAGTGTATCCAGTGCCATCTTCTGTCCTCCATGGGAATGTACAACATGGGTGCACTTACACACATGCAGGCAATATACTCATATACATTAAAAAAAATCCTTATTTTTAAATATTGCCTTTTTGCAGCCATTAACAAAAAAGGAAGATGATAAGTATGTAATGAGTTGGAAAGATATTCATTATGAATGATTGGGGCAAAGGATGGTATTTTTATTTTCTACTACATATATGTTATTTTTGTCATCATCCCAAGCTGTGTATGCACTATGTATTCCTCTCTACAGGGCACTAGGTATCCAAAAATGACCTGGAATTTCTGATCCTCTTTTACTTCCTGGATGGGGGCATGTGACATCACACCTTGTTTTGTGTGGTGCTGGGGATCAAATGTAGGATTTTATATAGGTTTGGCAAGCACTTTACCAACTGAACTACCTCCTGAGTCTCTTTAATTATTTTATAACTATAGTTACTCAGATGTTGTAGTGGAAAGATATAATAAATTATGGTATATAAAGTAGGTAATTTAGAGGATAAATTAAAAAATTTCAGTTTAGGTAGTTTCTAATAATCAGAACATCCATTAATAACATTCATTTTACCTTATTAAGTTTTCTTTCTCCCAAATTCTTTTTGTTTTTGCCTTTGTTATCCATGTACTTAATACAAACCGTAATTAAATAGTTCTGTTATTAAAGATAATCTAGTTTCTTATGATGCCTCTTTTGGTGATTTTGAATTCCTCTCTTTATTGTAGCAGTTGTCTTGCTAATCAGTTGGCAGACTATACCAATTTGTGTTGGTTGTGTGCACTCTTTTGTGGGGTAACTGCCATTACTTTTTGGCCACAGCTTCCTTGTTTATTAAGGTGATGGCAGTAATTTATCCTTTGAATATTTCCCAGCCAGTTCTGTGTACAGATTACTCTCTTAGTAAGTTTTTGGTGTTTCTAGAGGCTTATCCCTCATCTTGTTATTCTGTTACTCATTTCTGCTGGCATTCAGGTCTTCTGTAATGACTCCAACTTAGCTTCTAGGTAACCTTGCCCTTGGTATTACTTTCCTTCCATAGAACAACTTGCTGTTTCCAGAACATACTATAGTAGTTTTCCTCCTTCTATTATGCTGCTCCTAAATTCAAAATACTTATTTTCTTATGTTTTCTGGGTGTTACTCTTCTTTTATCATAGTTATCACATTATGCCTCCTCTTTTAGGTATTTTTATACTTTAAATACAGCTTAAGCATCTTTAATCTGAAAATCCAAAATGTTCCAAAACCAAGAAGTTGTTTTTTTTTTTTTTAATCATGAAACGGGAAAATTCTATACTTGTCCTCATGTGATGGTTTTAGTTGAAATGCAGGCACATTAAAAATACTGCATGAAATTACCTGTAGATTATGTGTATATGTGCTGTGTATGAAACATAGATAAAACTTTTATTTAGAATTGGGCCCCATCCATGAGTTTTGCCACTACATATATACGGGTATTCCAAAATACCAGACACAATCTGGAACACTTTGGATCCCAAGCATTGCAGATAGGTGATGCTTGATTTATACCTTGATTATAGATTTTTAAGCTTATCTGGGTCTTGACCTTTTTTTCTATAATTAAAAATCTCTACCTTAATGCCTTGTGTATTGTTAAAATTCACATGTAATTTAATAGAAATCTTGATTATATGATCACAAAATGTAATAAAATTAAAAAGTACTTTTGGCCTTGAAATTACTATGTGCAATAAACTTCTGTTTTCTTAAATTTTATATTCTCACCCTTAAGTCTAAGATCAGTTAAATGGTAGTCTGATTTAACAAAAAAATATTATCTTTTGTGTGGAGGGGCAGATGTCACATACAATATTAGAGGACAACTTTGTATAGTTGGCTCTCTCCTTCCACCTTTAACAAGTTCAGGTTGCCTGGCTTTTGTGGAAGGTGACTTCACCTGCTGAGCCATCTGACTAGCCAGATTTTTTTTTTTTTTTTTTTTTTTTTAGATCTTTTTGAGACAGGGTCTCTCTGTAGCCCCAGCTGACCTTCTGGAACTCGGTATGTAGACTAGGCTGGCCTTGAACTCACAAAGGAAAAGTCTGATTTTTAAGATCTGTAGACCTCAGGTTTTTTCTATAGTTTTATTTAGGAGATGAAAAAAAAAAGTCACATACCTAAAAATTGACTTATTGTGGTTGTGACATATAGAATTATAGTGAATAGAAGTTAGAAAAAGCTTAATTGTGAATAATCTTCATAATAGGTTTGAACATCTTTTTGGTAGACTAATGACTTCCTAAATTGTCAAACAAAACAAAACGGACGATACAAATTTCTGTACTGTATGGAGCTCATGCTTGGAATAGCTGACTCACTTAACTATAGAAATTAGCATCTATGCCTGTGATTTAAAGCACATGGATACAAAATTGTAGGATGTATTCCATATCAAGTTCACTGTTGCCTCTATCTCAATTAAAGATTTCATTGTAAAAGTAAAAGTTAAGCCGGGCGTAGTGGTGCACACCTTTAATCCCAGCACTCGGGAGGCAGAGGCAGGCAGATCTCTGTGAGTTCAAGGCCACCCTGGTCTACATAGTGAGGTCCAGGACAGCTGGGGCTAGGACACCCTGTCTCAAAAAGACCAAAAAAAAAAAAGTTAACATGAATGCTGGGGGGTGGATGACTAGTAATAAAGTTAAAACTTAGCTTATTGATGCAAAGGTCATCCTGTTGAAATAATGTTTCATCTTTGCATAGTGTAAAATTTAAGAAAGCTTAAGCTTGTCTAACTTTCTCATTCAGTCATTTAACAAGAGATCAATAATCACAAGTATTTGTGACTTGATTTTGAAAGCTGAATTTTTAACACATTTTTTTCCACACATTAAACACTAACACGTTGAAAAGCAACTAGAAGTTTCTTGTAGGTATGGATTTTGTTTGTTGTAAATCAGTGGGTATACTCTTGTATCCTAAAAGATTCATTACAATGGGCAAAATGCTTAATTGTTTACTCTGATGTCCAGTACAAGAATAGCAGCATACAGGGCAAAGTTATATTTGCCATCTATTTTTATTTTTATTTTTCTTAGTACAGCAGATCAGAATGCATGAAAGCTGTTAGGCCAACAAACAGGTCAAAAACTTGTTTTTATACCTAGTTCTTTGGAATGCTTATAAATCTCATGATTAAAAATATTGAAAATGCAGAGGGGGCTTTTTCCTAACATGAAGACTAAAAATAGCCTATTTTTAAAAATTAAGATTATAAAACTAGATGTTAACATTTTAACTTACGCTTGAAAGTGCAGGTACAAAATGCATCCAAAAATTTTAAATTAAGGTATTAGGAGGTATTCCATGCCAAATGTATTTATTGAATGAAAACTTTCTTTCTTAATACCATTAAGTAAATTTCAAGATTTCAAAAAAAAGTTTTACTCGATTTTGCTACATTTTGTGAAACTAAATCATTTTTTTAATTCCATAAAGCAGGAGGAAAGTGGGTCTTTGCCAAGTTTTGTTATTATACTAGCATTATTATCAGAAATAAATTGCTGTTTTATTTGCCAGTAACTTTAGTGATTTCAAATGTCTGTATCATGCTCATTATTATAGGGATTAGGCAAGTCAGTGAGCTAGATTGAATGAATTTTATTTATTATATAAAAGTGATATATAATCAAGTTGTTTAACATGATTTTTAAGATTTAAAATGATGTTGCTTCATTTAGTGAATATCGTATTTAAAAAATAGGATAATCATTGCCAGGCTAACCAGTTACAATATAGCAAGTACTTACCTATTTTAAATAAGTTATTGCTAATTTCTCAGTAGTGATATTAGCACACATTGCCAAATTATAACAAGTGAGAAAATTTTGTTTGCTATGAAATTCCTAATCCTTAAAATATATAGTTAGAATTAGTAATCTCAAAATTTTCTAACATGAGTTGAGAATTTGAGAGAAAATCCTTAAATTAAATGGTGGTGGAGTAGAAATGTGACAGGATTTATTGTTGCTTTAATGATTTGGAGAGTGGAAACAGAGCTACTGTATTTGGAAGGCTGGGAAGGAACATTGTGTAAATTCTATCACACTTAAGTTGCTATGTATCTAAAATTAGAAACAGTTGGCTTTGCTAGGTTTTTCTACAATGATAGAAACTATCCTTTTCCCCCTCTCTGTCCCTTATTCTGATTTATATTAACATCTCTTATACAAAATGGTTGAGTTGAATAAAGTTAGAAAATTATTTTATTGCAGGTTCTTAAAAAAAACATTATTCTATATTAATCTAGAACATTTGGTTTAGAATTAGGCAAAGTGAAGAAGGAAGAAAAAGGCTGGTGCTGTGTAGTTTCCTTCCTTTCCTGAACTGTTGATTCATTTGTATGTTCCAGGCTTATTGCCCTTGATATGAGAAAGTCAATCTTTTTTTTTAATAGTAAACTTGAATGTTAAAAGTTTCCCTATTTTGGTGTGCACATAAGGGTTTGTTTATTTATCGGTTCATAGTTTTAAAATACTAATGTAGCTTATGATTTCCTATATTCAAAGAAAAGAATAAAGTTTTATATATATTTCATTGTTTTTGATGTTCCAACTATTATAACAAGTATACTGTACCAGTAAATGTCACATAACGGTACAGAAAAAGCTTGTTTTGAACCTACAATTTATATTAAATGCTATTCAAATTGCCATCGTATAAATATATCTGTAGTTTGAGCCTTAGAAATAATACACTTCATGTATTTTTTTTTTAAAGCAGATGCCTGTTAGTTACATTTTAAAGTTATACACTGTTTTAAGGCTATGTATTTATTCTTTAGAAAATACGACTTACACGAATACCTTCTGGTGGACATAATATTGACAAAATATCACATGATATTACTTTTAACAAACTGCCATGCAACAAATACATTAAGTAATGAAGAAATTGAATATATATGACCTAATCTAATTGACATCCACATTGAAAATTTACAACATAACCAATACTTAAAATGTTTTCTCTTACATTTGGCAGTAGTTTTTACAATTTGAATTTAAAACTCTTCTGAATGTAGATTTGGTGAAACTTAGACTTCTCTCTAATCTGTGACAACCTGAGGTACTAAGCATTTTTCTCTTATTTCACTGTCTTCATAGGTAATCTTTTTGTTTCTTTTAGGATCTATCCATGAGTTGTGTATTACAGCATTATTAGGCATGGGGTCAGCTTCAACTATGGAAACAACTCGTTTTTTCATTTTACTTTTTAAGACCTTTTGAAATTTTTGTCTGGTGAATGCATATAATAGAGGGTGAAATATAGTTGTTCCATAAGCCATGACTAGAAAACATAATCTTAATTTTACTAAAAGGTCACTTGGGCCTAAACATAAAATAGTGGTATTTAAAACAGAAATTGGTGTCCAACAGAGAAGAAATGTAGAGATAATAAGTAAAGACATTCTGAAGACTCTTTTCTGCCTTTCTCGTCGTTCCCGGTGTCGTTTCACGGCTCGCCGGAGGGCAATTATTACAGAAACTGAAGTTCTCACACCGAAGACTACATTCCTCCCACCACTGCTTTGTGACATGTCTGTAGTCTCATGTGTGGTTAGTGAAATTGTCTTTTTCTTTCTTGCTTTCTTCTTCTGTCCTGTGGAAAATCTTGTGCCTATCCGAATGTTAAGAGCCTGAAGTATCTTGGTGTATGTGATTAACATTACAATAACTGTGAAGAAGAATATGGGGATCTGTACTAGAAGGTGATAATACATTCCCAGTTCTGTGTAGTATTCATTTGTACTGACACACAGGAGTGTCTTGTTTTCCCATATATTTCCAGTTTGAAGACTGAAAAAATTTACCTCAATAAAGGGAATCAGGAATGAGAAGAAAGAAAAAATCCAAATAGATGTCATTAACATTACAGCTCTGCCCATTGTTAGAATTCTGTTAGCAGGTTTTACAGAGATGTCATATCTGTCCAAAGTGATAGCAAAAACGTTGATTGCTGTTGAAACACTTGCAAAAGATACACAAGCCTCATGGAAACAGCAGATGAGAGCTGTGTTACTCTCCAGTGAAAGCAGAAGGATAACTATCGTTAGAGGAATACATCCCACACAAATTATTACATCAAGTACATGAAGATTCATTGTAATAATGTTACTGACAGAGTTGATTAAGTTGGATTTCATGCAGTAAAGTACCAATACGGTAAGGTTGCTGCCAAGTCCCAACACAATTTCTAACATGAGAAATCCAGTGAGAGACACTTGAAAGCTTAGTGGATATGATAGTGGCTGGTACATGTTGGTGTCGATGTCATCAATGTCATCTCGCACTGTAATGTTAGATTCAGACTGCATGTTGATTTCCAGAGCAGGATAAAAACACATTCTTTTGGAGCAGTTGGTTTTTCTCCTAGAAAGTAAAATAGAATATTTGATATCTGGCAATTTAAGTGATGTACAAAACATAGTATTCCATGTAAACAAAAAATATCTCTTTATCATGTACTTAGTTTAATTTTTAACTTTGTAAACTATTGATGAAAATGTGTAATCAAGAAATATCAAAGCTGCCTTGTTTTGAGGTAAAAGGAATTGTTTTCTCTTTGAAGAGCTACCTACATGGGTATTGTTCCTATATAGCACAAAACCACTTACTATGCTGCAAGGATTTGCTTCATTGGAGACAAGTAAGATGTTTATTTTTTAGAGAAAGCAGGGTTCTGTATAATAAAACTACCCAGCATGCAGAAGTAATTTCACTTGGATGGTTTAAAATTTCATTTTAAAATGTTGTGAGTAGATAGAAAGTAAATGCTATTTTAATATGCTCTAGCATGATTAGTGTAGGTGTAATTATTCCTGTGAGATTTCAAATGAACAGGACAGTGTTCACTTAAGAGGATAAATGGCACACAGCGCTAGTTTGTGTCAAACTATCTTGTCTACATTGAGTCTGCTAGATATAAACAGTGTACTTAGGGGTTTATTTGGAGTTATTTTCCACAGAAAGAGTCCAATGATAAGTACTTATGTCATGCTAAAATGCTCACTAAATTTTTACAATAGACTTGCAAAAATTGGAAGAAGGACATTATGTTAAAGTCAAAAGCTACAAGCTTGGTAAAAGGTGCTCCTCTGATTTATTTTGTGACCACACCCTCTTGTAGCCCATAGAAAGAGGTAATTGAAATTTGATACATACTAAAAGGTAGTTATTTTTGAAGTGGTTTAGAAGAATGTATTGTTAATTTTGTTTAAATAGTTTTAAAAGTAAAACATGGAATTTAAAGAGGAGTATTCTGAAGCCCACTTTTTGAGAAAACTTTTAAGTTATATATTACCTATGAAACCTGTGAAATATTTTGTTTATATCAGCCAGTACATAATTTTGAATAAAATTTTAAAGCTAATTCATGTAAATCTGTATTTAGGAGTTTAGTGTCATTCATAAAAAATAATATAGAATTTTCTGGCCTAACATGTCTGTAGTGAGTATGCTTAGCTTAAAATAAGAAATTATACAACCAACTATAATTCATATTTCAAGTATGATATTTTAACTGCAAAATTACATTAAAAGAAACTATAAAAAATTCAAAATTCATGTTGACATTTCACTTGATATTGCTTTTGACAAGTTTTTGCATGCTATTTTAGGATAATATTTCAGATACAAATGATAGCCTTAATTTCCTTTGGGTTGATATATTACTAGAGACATATTTATTCATATAAATGAAGGGCTTAACTAGCACTGAAATCGTGTAAAAATAGAAAATTTTATGGGTGCCAAATTTTCTGAAGTAACAAAACATCAGTTCTTTATCACATCAGATTTATAATTAAATAAAGCAGACATTGTCAAATTAGACAACAGCTAAGAAAGCCTATCTATTTTCTTCTGTAAATGCTAAGCAGTGTAGTGGGGTGCATGCATCTTCCAACCTACCTGTTTGCTGTTGCCTTATGGGCCTTTTGGCTCACTATGGCAGTTTTTCAAAAATTGATGCATGATGTCATTGACAGAGTTTTGACATGAATTTTCCCCTGACAACAGTGAAGTAGTTGTGCTTTATTTCATGTCTTGTAGGAATTCTTTCTTTTGCTCTCCAGTATGACAACTGCATGAATTTTGCAATTTGTTGGCCGATGGATTTAGAAAGAACAGTACATAATTTTTGTGTTTGTTTTGCCTCAAAAAGTCATGCCCAAAAGAAACTTCATCAAATGATAGGAATTAGATTTCCTTTTGAAGGAATCTATGATAGTGTCTCTTTATTTTCCAGAACATGTGAAAACAGAGAAGGAAACATACCATTTCTGGCTTCTAAGATGTATTCAAACATCCTTTTGTTGTAGCCCTGTTTCTACAGTTTCTCATTATTTTGAAATGATTTCTTGATCACATAATTTGCTTTATGTTATAAATCCAGTGCATGTTCATTTGATAAAAACCATCTGCTTTTTAATTTGGTTTGTTCTCATTAGACGAGGATACATAATTGGTCATGAAGCTCAGATGGAAAAGTCCATTAGTCACATCAACTGATATAAATATCTGAATATTTAGTGCAGAAAACACTTGCTAAAGCTTCATTTTACTCGCTGGCAAATGATGTCATTCTCATTTTTGAAGTTTATGTTTCAATGTTTCTTGCAGAGCTAGTAGTTTCCACAATTCTATTATGTTAAACTCCCAAAAAATGCTCACCATTTTTGTTTTCAGGCTTTTGAAGTTCTTTTCGTGGTTAATTTATAGCATCCTCTCAGTATACTGTCAATTTGTTATATTCCAGCAGAGCTTTTCCAAAGTTTTAACTCCTTAGTTTCTTGGAATCATGTGTTAGAAGAATATCTTGCAGTTTGTGGTTCCGAGAGCTAGGGTAATTCTTAGTCAGTTGCATTCTTCACATTGTCAGTTGCATATACTGAATTAGCTGCTGTGGGCCTTTGTGAAAAAGAGAGAAACAGGATTAAGGAATAGGGTTCCTAATAATTTTGTATTAATTGAAAGTTATTTTAGTTAAAAAAATTCTTTTAAACCATGGAGATTTTTTATCAGAGTCAGCAAACTGTATTACTGGAGGCATACATAAATTCATAAAATGAAGTTTCTTTAAGTAAAATGACCCTTTTCCTAATAAAGATTGTCTTACCTTATTTAACAGTAGGGCTAACATTGCAAATACAACCATGAGAGAAAGATTGTTTTTAAAATAATATCTCTTGTCCTTTTAGATGCTAATTTATGTGTTCAGAGACTGTAAACAGTTAATATGCACGAAACATAATGCTATTCCTTCTTGCTAATAAATTTAACAACATTTCCTGCATACTGGGAAATATTGTAGGTTGCTTAGTTATTAATAAGCACATGGTTTGAACTTTAACTCATTAAAACAGATTCTGTGATAAGACATTAAAATTTTCTTTTGATGAATTACTCACATGGCTAAAATGTAAAGGTAATAAAAATGTAATTGCAGATTAAATAATTTTCAGTGAACATGTCCAATCATAATCTTAACACGAAATTTAGTAATAAGTATCAACTAAATAGTAAACCTGCTACTTATAAGACATATAAACATTTTTGAACACCTGAGCAAAACTATACCTATGACATTAAGAATATTTAGTATGTCTGAAGTGACTTAAGAGCTGATGCATTTGGAGTGAATTATAGAGAACAGAGAATATTCTTTGGTTTAACAACACATCCTAAAGATTACATTTAAAATATACAATGCCTTAAAAGAAGTAAATCTAAAAATTGGATGTTTACCATTAAGTAGAAGTAAAGGAATAAACTCTTAAATATGAGACTGAAAATTCCAAAGTAATTTTACCCCACTATGCTGTTTCAAAAGCAGTTATACACTATAATAAGGAACACATCTTACCTCTGCTAAAGATTTGACAAATTCTTGATGTAGTTGAAGCGTTTCCAATTTTGATTGATTCATTTTATTCACTTGTTAGTAGAAGACTGGGGTAAGAGGGTCATAAACATCTCTTCAAACAAGACCTTACTGAAAATCTGTGTCTGTATTGTGCCATTGTTTCAGCAGTACTGCTAATGTATAGAACGTGGAGTGCTGCTTCCAGGCTGCAGTCTCCTCTTCTTCCTACTGTGCAATCAATAAGCATTTGAAAATGCATAATGAAAGTAATTTAGCATACTGAAGTCTTCTTGTCTCCAGAGACAGCATTTAGATTCCGTCTTTCTGAAAAACAGCGGCACTGCCTTTCAGAGGGAAGCCTGCTCTGAGCAGCTTTTGCAGAGTGACAGCCTACCTTGTCGCTTCTCTCCACTGCAGAGAGATGCAGTGTATTCACTAATTTTGATTGGCCAGTTGTATTGGGCTTAAATTGTGCTTCATATGTGTGGCAGGGGTTTCCCCCCCCCCACTGCCTTATATAAGGATGCTTTTTTAAAAAGCTAGATTTATTATGTTGCTTTTAAATAGAATATGAATAAATTAGTCTTTTAGAAATGTGTATTCTATTCTAGTTCAATAGTCACTAATGCCAAACATTGCAAAAATGCAGAGAGGTGTGTGTGTGTGTGTGTGTGTGTGTGTGTGTGTGTGTGTGTGTATGGGGGGGGATTCACATAGTAAATAAATACATTTCTAAAGCCTTGATAATTGTACTTGAATACTTCAGTAGTTATGTATGTTTTGGGTTAGGTTCTTTGTTCTACAGATAGAAAGCCCCTGCATTTTTACAGTGAACCAGGTTGAATTTCAACTAGTTTGTTTGTATTCAAGTCATCTCTGTATATTCCAAATTGTGAACATCTCGAGGTGTTAAATGTCATCATGACTTCAATATTCATCCACTTAGATATTTCTTCATTTCTTTTCATTCATTCACATTATAAATCACATTGATGTAAGGTAACTATACCAGAAGACATTTCAAAACATTCTTTGCTACGTATAGTCACAATGTATAAATGTAAGTCATTTGTTTGCTTTCAGGGATGGTATTCCCAATCTTTACCTTTGGCAATCTTTTTATGTATTAGATGTATACTGATCATTTGCTATGAATATTTTATTTTAATTGACTATGTCTGTTTTTGACAAGGGAGCCTTTCTTGGTGGATTGATGTTTCTTAAGTTTTATATATAGCTATATGGTAACACTGTTGGTAAATACATATGGTAGAGGGAAAAGTATTTGTTTTAGGATATTCTGTCATTCTGTTAAAATTAATAAAAGTATAGGAAACATTAAAGTTACATTTCTATTAATTGTGGGTACTTCTAAATACATTTCTTCTTCTCTTCCTCCTCTTCTTCTCCTCTTTCTCCTTTTCCTTCTCTTCCTCCTTTTCCTCCTCTTCCACTTCTTTTCTTTTGAGACAGGGTCTCCTTGTAGCCCCAGCTGTCCTGGAACTTTCTATGTAGACTCACAGAGATCCACCTATCTCTGCCTCCTGAGTGTTAGGATTAAAGGCAAGCGCCACCAAGACTGGTTGCATTTCTTTTGTTTCTTTTTTTTTTGTCTTTTGAGACAGGGTTTCCCTGTATCCCCAGTTGGCCTGGAACTCACTAAATAGACCACGCTGGCCTGGAACTCCCAGAGATCTGCCTGCCTCTGCCTCCTGAGTGCTGGGATCAAAGGGGTGCACCACCACGCCCAGCTTTGCATTTCTATTCTTAATAGTGAGACTATATATCTTTTACAACTTGAGCTTATGGAGTGACTACATTGTTTTTTAAGTTACCTTTATTTACTACTTATTTGTGGTATATGTTGTATGTGTGTGTGTGTCTGCTATGGTACACATGTGGTAGTCAGAGGGTAACTTGGTTCCTTCGTTCTACCTTGGGGATCTTAGGAATCAAACTCAGGGCATCAACCTTGGCAGCAAGTACTTTTTACCCACTGAGCCACAGAGGAATGCATTGCTGATGGATGCATTATTAGTGTATTAATCACTACCTAGCTCCAGTATTTTAGGAATAGTCTGCATTTTTCAGAATATTATATCCTAGGTTTTTTTTATTTGTAATTAGAATTCTCTTCTAATTTTGAAAAGCAGTATACATTTTATAATGTTTTACAATTAATGTTTAAGCTTTATAGGTGAATGACTAATGAGCACCTGAATTTTGAATTGTATTTCTATAGAAGCTGAGAGTAATATGGAAAATTTTGATGTGAATTTTGAACATTTTCTGCATAGCTTTGGATGATAATGCTTTGGGTGGTAATGCTTTGGGTGGTAAGGCTTTGATAATGCTAAAAGTGAAAATGTTGTGCTACTTATTATTCATGCATTTTGGAAGTTAGGGAAAGGGATCTTGTTAGAATGCCAGCTATGTTAAAAGACAGATGATGCACAAAAAATGTTATTTTAAACTTAAAACTAAAATTGGGAGGAAACAGCATCAGTTGAGAACTGTGGTTGGAATATGGAAGTTATTAATATAATGGAAAAAAAATAGTGTTTCCCTGCCAGAGAGCTTTAAGTATTTGGTTACCTTTATTATCATAACATCCCTGTTTAGTAGAAGAAACCAAGGCACAAAGAAATCTACTGACTTGTCAAAGTCTGGGTAAATTGCAGCCCGGTGAACCCAACTCTGAGCTAGTGGGCTTGTCTCTTTGGAAAATTACAAAATATATGGGTTTAAAATTGGATGATCTAGGTTAATTCATCACCTCTGTCAGTTTTGGAAATTCAACCTTCCCTTTGGTGACAGTATAGCTTTGATTCTTTTTTTTTTTGGAGCATATTTCTATGATTTTCTTATCTATAAGACAATTTTTTTTTCTGATTATTTTCAGAAAACAAAATCTGAGCTTTCTGTAAGAAGTAATGATAGCAAAAGAGCTCAAGTCTCGACACTGCTGTGAATTCTCTGTATAAGCGACTTATAGTTAAACATGTAGAAGATACCATAAATAGCAATGCTTAGTCTAATGCTATTTATTTATTTATTTATTTATTTATTTATTTATTTATTTATTTATTTGTGTAGCCCTACCTGGCCTGGAACTTGCTATGTAAACCAGGCTGGCCTTGAGTTCACAGAAATATGCCTGCCTCTGCCTCTTAAGTATTGGGATCAAAGGTATGCACTACCATGCCAGGCTTTTTTTGCTTTTTTGAAATCACAAATTTTTTTGGTGCTTATTTGTTATTTAGATCTTCACAAGACATTTTAAAGCTCTCTGTTTTAAACAAATATGCCAAAATATTACTACTACTACTACTACTACTACTACTACTACTACTACTGATAATAATAATAATCATCAGTGGATTCAGAATGTTTATATTACTTTCACGAAGTATTTCACATCAAATTACATATGTTAGAATTTATAAAGATTCCTGCTTCCATAATAACAGCCTTTTTGCATTTGTGCATTTAATACATGCTATATTCATATAAGATACTATTTTGAAAAATGCTACAACTGGTGATTCAAACCAAATTTTATGCTATAAAATAATTTAATAGATTAATTCTTTTGCCTCATAACTGGGGACAGTTTGCCTTACCCAGTGGTTACTGAGCAGCAAATGTGAGGCTAAATCTCAAATACACCTCAAAATCATTTTTCAAAAGTTATATTTTTATTGCATATCTCTTTTCATTCTTTTTAAAATTGAATTCTTGCAATTTTCAGACAATATATTTTCATAGTATTTAGAGCTCCTCCCCTATCCACATCTC